TCACACACACACACACACACACACACACACACACACACACACACACACTCTCTTCCACTCTCAAGACTAGAACTCAAGAAATAGCCTTCAAGGGCATTTTGTAAGTGGCTCGTGGCTTTCCCTGTGGAGTTTCTAAGGAATGTAGTAGGTGATCTACAGGAGGTGGAGTCCTGAAACAGGCATGCTCCCAGCTTACATCCCAGGTCTCATTTGAGTTTGCCTTTATATTAGTACAAGTCCCAATGCTCAGAGTAGAGCAGAAGGGACTCAGGACTACCTCAGAGTGGCCTGTGTGTGTCCTCTTTCATTTTCTCTGAGACCAGGAACACTTTTCTGAGAGCACAGTGACCAAGGTGTGTGTATCAGCAAGTGAGTCTGCCTCTGAGCTCTTCTGATTTCTTCAGATGTAGTAAAAGGATTTTTCTCAGTGGTCCCCACTGGTAAGGGAACCTCTGTACCCCATCTTTCAGAACGGGAACTGTGTAGAGAAAAAGACTTGCCAGTTGGCCTGGGTGATCCCACGTTCTTGTTCATCTCTGACGTCGTGTCTGCATGTTTACATGGGCTGGATGACGTGTATACAGGGTGCACCAAAGTGGAAACGTGCCAGGCTTCTCCCTAATGCCACTTCATCTTTGTAACACTTAGACCTTACAAGAGTTAAAGAATAGCCAGCCTTGCTCATCGTGGTTCAGCCACTTCGTATCCTGATGTGAAACCTTCCAAATGAGACAAACTACCAGATGCTTATTAAGGAAAACCCACGCAAGACTGGCATCACAGACAACCCCACTCCAAGAGGATGGGCTTGGACTCTCCACACTAGACTAATAAGTTTTCCATTTCTCTTCTTTCAAAACAAAGTGCACCAGCTTCAAAGATTGAACTAACCAAAGGACACAAGTGGTTCAGAGTTACGGGGATGGAACTTCAGGCTACTTCTACTGGTGGTAGTGATGGATGTTGTTGCTCCCCAGTTTGTGGGAGGTGGTATCCGAGGCCAGCAGGTGCTCCCACAAATCAACCACTGGCCAACCACTTCTACTCTGTTATGTGTGGACTTTCCCACAGATGAATGCCAAGGAAACCTGGAATGTATAAAACAGCCTCTCAGCCGGGCGTGGTAATGCACGCCTTTAATCCCAGCATTCGGGAGGCGGAGGCAGGCGGATCTCTGAGTTTGAGGCCAGCCTGGTCTACAGAGTGAGTTCCAGGACAGCCAAGGCTACACAGAAAAATCCTATCTCAAAAAAAAAAACAGCTCTCATGATCCTTAAACATGTTGTTCAAACCTGTCTTGACCAAGAGCACCTTTACTGAAGAGCCAGCAAGAGAAAGGTAAAACCAAGGAGCCAGCCTTCCTGTGAGGAACATCTAGTGAGTTCTCAAGACCCACAGTGTTTGAGCAGCCCAGCCATAGGCAGTGTCCTTCCTGGTCTTCATTTTTCACTGTGGCTTCATCACTCATGGGACTGATTCTTGACTATACGAAGCCAACCATGGAGGCGCACACCTGTAATCCAAGCAGGTTCAGAAATAGAGGCAAGAGGTTCAATTCAAAGTCATTCTTGGCTGTTTACAGAGCTCAGGGTTGGCCTGTGGTACATGAGACCCTAAAGAGCCAGGTACAGTAGTATGTGACTGTAGACCCAACACTCAGGAAGTCAGGACAGGAGTGTGGCTTGAGTCCAGTTCAAGACCAGCCTAGGCAGCACAATGAAACCCTGAAGAAGCCACTGAGCAGCATGCTCTCCAAAGCCAGGACCTTCATCTTCTTACCTTCTCCCTCAAAAGAAAGTTATAGCTTGGACAAAAAGAGAGAGAGAGGCCCTGGATCCCTCCCTGTATTTCACTCTTAATACACATGACACAGAAGCCCAGGTCCTTCTTACTCTTCCATGGACAATGAAATGGAATAATGATCAGTACTACAGGGGTGGCATGCCAGAAACCCTCTGGGAACAGGTACCAGCTCCCTGGAACAAAGGACGCCTGGAATCCTTCAAAAGGGTGATGAATTTAGTGGCAGCACTTGTCTAACCCTAGTGTGTGTTTCAAACCCCTGCTTGGCCATTTACTGCCAATGAGCTTTGACAGTCTCCCTAAGCCTCTGTTCTCTCATGGTTGCTGCAAGCACCGGATAAAAATGCAGAAGGTAGAGTGGTATGGGGTTTGGGTTCTGTGTGTGTAACAGCTGCGCTGGAGCTGGGCTTGTCCAGTCTGGGTCATCCGTGTCTTAAAAACTTTTCTTGTTGAGGAGGTAGATTTGAGACAAGGTTTATCTGTGTAACCCTGGTTAGCCTCAAACCTACAGAGATCCACCTGCCTCTGCCTCCTAAGTGCTGGAATTAAAGACATGCACCATAATGCCTAGCAAAAAACATTTTTTAGTACATTACCTGCTGAATGATGTTCCAAAGGCTTTTGGTTGTGAATATGTGTGTGTTAAGGGCCACAATAGGACAACGTTTACTACTATGTGCTACAATAGAAGGGTGTGAGTGAGTATCATCTGGCCAGCTCTAGATAGCATGCTGTGGGATGCTGGCCAACTCATCTGCTGGCATTGGGGTCTTATTCCAAGAGTCTCACAAGCCTTGAGGTCTCTGCCTCCCCTGGGAGTCTTGGGCCTCATATATCCATGCTGGAGTGTTGGTGAGTGTCCACAGGAGGTGCAGGTGAAGCCCAGTGCCTCCTGACTGAATTAGTCAGTCTGTTTTCTTGACCTGAGACATTTTGCCTTCAGGATACTTTTTTAAGGCTACACAAGACTCCTAGAAAAAGAAGCCCTTAGGCCTGTTTTATGCATCCATTTATTTAGCATATTTCCTTTCTAGACTCAAAGCTGACACTCTTGCTGTCTGTCCGCTATGGAATGTCAGCACACGGGCCAGTTGATCCTAGCACGTCATTGGACAGTGGCTATCCTGGCTTGCTCTGTCCCTCCACCTGACTTTGAGATCCACATGGGCAGAGTGAAGCTTTGTCAGAGTGGGGAGAACACCTGGTGGAGGAAAAAAAGCACTTGTCCTGTTTCTATGTAACCTTCCAATCAAGCTTGGGCTGCTGTCTCAGCCTGTTGGCCTCTACTGAGTATCAGTACCGACTGACACCTTCCTTACAAGGTGGGTGTCAGGACCTATGGGCCTGGCTGTGGATGAATCCAAGGCAGTATGATACACCTAGTCTGTCATCACATTGTAGTGCCCCAGGCCTTCTTGACCGACTACAAGTGATCACCAGGCAGGGGATGCAGAGTCCCTGAAAATGAATTGTCTCTGCTGTCACTGCTGCTGCAAGAAAGGTATGGCCAAGAGCAGCATATATCTGTGTGCATGATTTACAGGGGTTGCTGAGTCTCAGGTCTTAACCTGATTCTTGTCCTGATTATATAAAACTGTTTGCTCCATGGAGAAAACATAAAATGTGGACAGGTCCACAGAAATAAGCACCATTTGCAGAGGCAACAGTCCCATGGGTGAGTCCTGTGCATACTGCTTCTCCCATATGATACACAAAGGTTCCTGGTGGCCCGGGGTCATGTGAAACTGTCAACCATCTCTCATTGCCACATACTGTTGCAATTTATAAAATTAGTCTGCATTACTGCACATTCCAGTCCTCAACTTTTCATTATAATTCAGTGTTCCGGTTTATAGTGTGAAACCTGTCTTTAATTTTTTTGATATTTGTTTAAACTTTTCATTGTGAAATTTTAGACTTATAAAAACCAGCAAAATTGTGTATCTTCTATATGACATTCAATGCCAAAGATAAACATCTTACATACATAACAACAACAAAAAATTCCTTTCTCTTTTAAGAAAATCATTTTAAAAAGAAAGAGGACTGGGCAGTGGTGGCACACCCCTTTAATCTCAGCACTCGGGAGGCAGATCTCTGAGTTTGAGGCCAGCCTGGTCTACAGAGTTAGTTCCAGGACAGACAGTTAGTTCCAGGCTACACAGAGAAACTCTGAAAAAACTAAAAAAATTCAAAAATTAAAAAAGAGGAAAAAAACCTTGAAGTCTGCATGGTGGCACATACCTGTAGTCAGTGGGCTAAGGTGGGAAGATCACTTGAACTAGGAGATTGAGACCAGCCTACACATATAGCAGAATGAAACCCATTTTCTCTTTAAAAACAAAAACATTGAGACATACTGCCCTCTACTTCAGGAGCTCTCTTGAGGTTCCTCTCCTGCCCCTTTTGCCTCTGGGGATTCCACATTCTGTTGTTTGTATCTTCACCCCATTTCTGGCAGTTCCTCAGTCTTAAATTTGTCATGATCTACATTTTTTTTATTGAGGATAAATTTATATAATATGAATCATTTTAAGTGTATAGTTGGCTCTGTGGCATTTATCAAATTCAGAATAAACCACTTATATCCGGTTCCAAAATAGTTCTGCCACAGACCTTGGCCCAGTACAGACTGTGGACAGGTACTTGTTCAGTAGCCTTTATGTCTTGGTTTGGGGCAAGAGTGTCACTGGTGTGTTACATTTGTGGTTTTCTGCAGCCGTGACAGTTCTGACTTTGATCATTGTGTTAAATCTGTTCCTGTAACATTTCACTGATGTAAAATGGCCATTAGCTCCTTTCATGATTGATGTCCCATATGAAGAGACTGTCCCTGGCTGTCCTGGAACTCAGAGATCCATCTGCTTCTGCCTCCCAAGTGCTAGGATTAAAGGCATGTGGCACCACACCCAGCTGAGATCAGATTCTTTAACTGAGTGTCAATGGAAGAGTGCTGGAGTGTTGGGATAGGATGTGCTCAGATGTCTGCATAACAAAAGGGGTGTTCATTATGCCAGTTATGGGAGAAGATTGCATGGAAGAGAAGATGTAGAACTAGGAACATTGGAGGCCTTCATTAGAGGAAGAAGGCCTTGAGTCACATGAATGAGCACATCTATATCTGTCAGGCAAACTCAGTAAATTCCCTTGGCTTCCAGAAGAGGTGGAGAAAGCAGAGGCCCAGAGCCTCTGTAAGGATATTGTGGGTCTGGAGACCTGATCTGGCTGTATCTATAACAATTTTGGGCTTTTTTCTACCCATCACCCTCTTACAGCCAGCACCCACAGCAGGTGAGTAGTCAGCTCGGGAGAGGCCATGGGGAACATCCACTGCATGAACAGGCCTGACACCAACCCTCACACCCCACAGTAGCCTGTGCATCTTTTGGTGCCTGCTGCATGTGGCATTTGCTGCTTCCCCTTGCATGTTTGTGTCCTGTACTGTGCCCTCACCCCTTCCCCATGCCAAGCTTGCTGGTCCTACTGTGGGCAAGGGGCCTCTTTCTTAGTGGTTTCATCAGATGGATAACCTAGCTCATGCCTACAGGAGCCATGATATCCTTGGTCACTGAAGGTCTGCTTCCTGTCCAGCAGCAGATCTCTGCCTGTGGAGGAAGGGGTCTGGGGGTGAGTGGGTGACAGGTAGTCCCAATGCCATGTCTGCTTATTGTGCTCTACAGTTTCTGCTCCGGCCTGCAGCCCTATGGGGCTTCCAGGGTGGCCTGGGCCACAGCAAGCTGTGCCATATTGGACTCCATCCCCTGCTCTGCCAAGGCAAAGGGTGTGTTTGTGTAGCACAGGTCATACCACACTGACCTTTTGCCCCATTCTCCTCCAGGGCATTGAACGCCTCCAGCGAAAGAAACAGCCCAGGGAGCACTCGGGCAGCTGGAAGTCCGTCCAGGAGGCTTTTGGTGGGAACTTTTCCCTGAACTGGTTCAACCCTTTCACCAGACCTTGTCAACCAGAGACACCGATTGACAAGGGCTTGGTACGGCAAGTGTCATCTCTGTCAGACACAGACAACATGGAAACAACTGAGAGCCAATTGGAGGAGACAAAAGACAGGGACTCTGTGGAGGTGCTGGATGAATAGAGGCTGTGGAGAATAATGTACCAACAGTAGCTGCTGGCCTGATGAGTACTCCCCAGCTCCCTGGGCTTCCACAGGCCACTCCCTTGGTGTTACCAACTCTGTCACCGCACCCTTTCTCCAGTTAGGACTAGGGGTGGAGTGTGGGTAGAGGAGAATAGGGACTGGGATGTCCTGGGGGAAGAAAGCCACTTCTGCTTCATATGGGCTGTCTTGGGGAGGTTGAGGGCCTTGGGGAAGGACACTGACATCAGGGATGACCAGCCAGAAAGTCTAGGGATTCTCCAGCAATTCCTAGGGAAGGGATTCCTTGACTGGCTGGCTGTGGGAATCAGGGATAAAGGAGGGGCTACTGAACCTGCCCTCAGGACTTCGGCTTGGTTGAAAGAGCACCCCACCCACCTGCATGCAAGCTGCCAAGATGGAACTGAGCCTGAGTTATGACTGTCACCCAAAATTAGTTCCCATCCTATAGATAATAGACTCTTCTCTGAGACACAATGGAGCCAGCCTTTCTGTGGCCACAAGTTTGCACTCCCAGCAGAGCTGGGAGAGGACATATATTGAGCTCCTGGAGAAAGTCTCGTAAAACATGGGGATAAGTGCAACCAGAAATGGCCACCTTTGCATTTTAGAACAGCTCCTAAGATGGTGCCTCAAAAAAAAACTGCATGGCTGGACCCAGTGGCACATGCCTTTCTTTATTCCCAGCATTTGGGGCAGGCAGCCAGATCTTAGTGAGTTTTAGGACAGCCTTGTCTACAGAGCTCCAGGCTGCATAGTAAAACCCTGTCTTCAAAAGAACAGCTGGTGGCCAGGACATGCAGACTACTGGATCTTGTCTGCTCACTGGAGATTGGGGCATCTGGCGATTGGTGGCAGTCTGGGCAGCCTCCTGCACTCCCCAGTCTGTTGCAGTGGTAGCTGAAACAGCAGCTTCTGCGGTCTAGCCAGTTATTCTCCAGAAGCAAATCAGCTCCCCAGCACAGGCCTTGAATTCCCCAGTGTTGCTGGCACTGAGTCTGATGGAAGATTGTGTATTACATCCCTTCTTCCAGCTCTGAGTCCTGGACCAAATGAACCTACCTGTGGCCTTGGTGGCATGAGTCAGTATTGTTTGAGGTACTGTCTCAGGACACAGAGAGAGGAAAGCTATGGAGAGCCAAGCAGTGGTCTCACTCTCAGGCAGCATCCTAGGCAGTCCCTGGGGGGTAGAGGTCCATCAGATTTTTTATAGTACACCCTACAGAGTGGCAGCAGGACTCCAGCATTAACAGATGTGGCCTACCCCACTCCACTGCAGATGCATTTCCTCCGAGCAGATCTGCTTTAATGTTTATTATTACTAACGTGAGGAGCCCAGGTTGGCCTACTGCTGACATTGTTTGGAGGGAGCAGGCCTCTGGCTGCCCTAATCCCAAACAGACCTGAATGACCTATGTGCTGGACCATATACCAGAGACTCCAGGAGAAAGAAAGGCTAGTGACCGAGTCTCCAAGGAGCAGCAGTTAACAGAAGGAAGGAGCTTTGGAGTCAGGATCTGTGTTGAGTTCAGGCCCTCAAGAATATCCTTGCACCTGGCGCAGAGATGCGTCTTCCTTGGACCAGCTTGACCAGCAGCAGAAGTGCTCCCCAGCCCTGCAGCCATTTGTTTTCAGAGTACTTCCCCTAGAAAAGTTGAGGTGCGCAGGCATTTTGCTCTCACAGGTTTAGAAGTCTTCCTCCCTCCTCAACAAACCCATTATCATGTCAGGGCCTCAGCTGCATCTCTCCCAAGTCCAGGAGGCACTGGACAGCCAGGATCATGTAGGTAGTAGTCTGTCCAGCCCTGAGCCTTGTGCCTTAACAGCAGGACACAGTGGCCTTCCTTCCATGGTGACTCCTGAGATTCTGCCCAGCACTGCAACTGATAAGAAGAGGCCCAGTGTTTCTGGGAGGGAGGTCAGTTGGACACCTGCCTCTTATTTGAATAAAAGTTCTTTGATCTAACTCTGTGGCTAGAGGCACCTCTTTTTAGTAGGAGATTCCCAACCCAAAGCTCTGGACAGCATCCTTCCTCTCAGGTCCAACAAGTGTTATACAGACACTAACAGTGGCTTCATGGGATTACTGGTCCTTCTTGGTTCCAGCATGGAAAAGTCATCCCACAAGCAAGCACATACCAGACACCTACTGCATTCTAGGGAGGTGCACATCTGGGGAAAAGGAATCAGGATTGGGGTTTTCTAGTTTTGAATGAAGGTGAGGTGACGACAGGTGTTCTGCCTAGTTTTATATCAACTTGACACAAGCTAAAGTTATTTGGAAAGAGGGACTCTCCGTTGAGGAAATGCCTCCATAAGGTTGGCCTGTAAGAGCTGGAGAGATGGGTCAGCGGTTGAGAGCACTTGGTTGTTCTCCCAGTGGACCCGGGTTCAGTTCCCAGAACCCACATGGTAGCTCTCAATGGTCTGTGACTCCAAGATCTGACACCCTTACACAGACATGCAATGCAAGCAAAACACCAGTGCACATAAAATATTTATTTTAAAAAAAAAAAAAAACAGACGGTGGTGCACGCTTTAATCCCAGCACTCGGGAAGAAGAGGCAGGTGGATCTCTGTGAGTTTGAGGTCAAGCCTGGGCTACAGAGTGAGTTCTAGGTGCAAAGCTAAACAGAGAAACCCTGTCTCAAAAAAAAAAAAAAAAAAAAAAAAAAAAAAAAAATTGGCCTGTAAGTGCTGGGCAGTTGTGACACCTTTAATCCCAGCACTTGGGAGCCAGAGGCAGATGGATCTCAGTAAGATCGAGGCCAGCCTGGTCTACATATCGAGTTCCTGGACAGCCAGGATTGTTACACAGAGAAATCCTGTCTTAAAAAACAAACAAAAAAAATTTAGCCCATAAGCAAGTGTGTAAGGCATTTTCTTCATTGATGATTGATGTAAGAAGCTGGCCCATTGTGGATGGTGCCACCCCTGGGCTTGTGGTCCTGAATGGTATAAGAAAACATAATGAGCAAACCATGAGGAGCAAGCCAGTAAGCAGCACTCCTCTGTGACCTCTGCATTAGCTCCTGCCTCTAGGTTCCTTCCCTAACTTACTTCCTTCAGAGACTGACTGTTACCTGGAAGTTAGATGAAATAAACTCTTTCCTTCCCAGGTTAAACTTGGTCATAGTGTTTTATCATAAGACAAGAGTATCCTTTGAATACACAAAATATCCCTTATTCAATCTGTACTCAGCCTCTCTGGAGGCTGTACATGTCCACTTAGAAAGTATAGCCCTTAAGAGAGGCTGACTATCATGAAGACAGCCCAGACTATGGAGGCCAACCCCTTGGAAAGAGCCCCTGGATCCATGAAGTTCAGAGGCAATGACACTCCTCAGGTTACATTAAGCAGCATGCTGGCATAAAAAGAAAAATTAACTCAGAACCACATAGCCATCTTATAGTAACCAGAGTTTAATTCAAAGCATAGTGATCATCTGAGCAGATCCCTTGATGGCAGAGCAAAGCACAGACTCCAATGAGCAGAGCAGGATAAGTTGCTTCCCCAGAACTTATCATTGGCCATAGACTCCTACTTGAACGGATGCAGGCTGTGGGGTCTCCATCCCGTGGCTCACCTAGAGACAAGAGGGCCTCACGCCAGCGTGAGGCCTGCTTCTGAGAGGGCAGAGCCTTGAGATGAGCACATAGTGCCAGGCCCAGGCCCAGCTCCAGGATACTTTGCTACAGGACTGTCTAGTCATCCTCTAGGTCCCCCTGTACTTGATAGAATCCATAGTCCAGATGGAAGATGCCTCTAACACTTTCAGTCCCACTGAATAGCAGCTCTGGGTTTTGTATATGGTTCTGAATCCAGATGACAGTTGCACTGTCTTCTGAGTCCTTGACTCCTAAATATGTTTTGTGTTTAAGATGTCTGCCTATGATGTATGCTTCAAGCTGTAGGGAGGTGCCCTGGCCCAATGGGGCTACTGCCTATGATTACATTGGCCTTTGAGCTCTTATCTTCCTGGGCTGGCTCTTGAATCTGCCCTCACATGAGTTAATTAAATATAATCATCCCTGACCTGAAAGCTAAGTACAATTTAGGAAATGCTAACATGCTTAGTCAAGGCTCAGAGCCAATCAGGGCTCCTGCCTCCACCTCCATGGTATCAGCTGGGCTAGGTGATGAGAATGATCTTCTCGGCATCAACCTCCTTCACTTCTCTAGAAGTAAACTTGACAATAAATTTCTTGGCTCCAGTTCTCACTGGGGTGAATTTCATTTGGAAATTGAGGGACATTCCAGGTGACAGTGTCCTAGAAAATTCAAATGCACACAGACAATTATTATTATTATAAGGTGCATTACATTTGTTTATGCTGTAGAACATTTGTTTAATGACACAAAGATGCATTGCGTCCTTTTATGTTACATTTGTTCAACTCTGTGAAGCTGTTTCTTTGCCTGTCTAAAAACCTGATGATTTAATAAAGAGCTGAAAGACCAATAGCGAGGCAGGAGAAAGGATAGGTGGAGTTGGCAGGCAGAGAGAATAAATAGAAGGAGAAATCTAGGAGGAAAAGAAGAAAGATCAAGAGAACAAGGAGAGGAGAACAAGGAGAACAAGGAGAGCAAGAGAACAAGGAGAGGAGGGGCCAGCCATGGAGTAAGAGTGGAAGTAAGACTACAAAAGTAAGAAAAGGTAAAGCCCAGAGGCAAAAGGTAGACAGGGATAATTTAAGAAAAGATGGCAAGAAACAAGCCCAGCTAAGGCTGGACATTTATAATTAAGAATAAGTCTCCATCTGTAATTTATTTGGAGCTGGGTGGTGGGCCCCCCAAAAGGGCAAAAACAACCAACAGACAGCAAAGATGCCACCGAAGGAAAATGCATCGCATGAGGAACCAGGTTCTGATTCCTGTACTCCAGAGCTCAGTAAAGGGGGCCTCCACCTGGAGTGCAGCCACTTCTCAGCTGTAAGACAAGATGGCTGCTTTCCAGCTATGCCATTCCTAAGCTGTCCTGGAGGTTCTCAGGAACATGGTTCATGGTGAATCTACAAGAAGGTGCTGTCTAACTGTAGGTACTCAACAATGGCATTACCTGAGAGTGTGTTAGACTCTGAGGCCCCACCCCAGAACTGCTGAACAGAATCTGTACTTTAACAATGTTCCCGGGGAATCTGTATATCTGTGAAGGTTTAAGAAACCCTAGTTTCAGAACAAGAGTCTGCTGGGATTTACCTGGGAGATCTAGCATTTGAGTTAATAAAATCCTGTACTGGGCATGTCAGCATACCAAAATCAATAGCATCCATCTCATTCATCAGTCAGAAAGCAATGAAAAACATCCCCTGCACAAAGGCAGCAACTAGGAATGTGTCCCTTACAAAAGAGACTCGTGGATACATGGGAACTTATGCCAAGTCCCTGCAAGGTGAGACCCAGCATGGCTGTTTGTTTGGCACAACATTGTTCCAGTTTAAATCCCAAATCAAAATGATTCTAAAAGTTCTCTTTTTGAGAAACTGTGGGAGGAAATCTATCTGCCTTCCACATAGCATGGTATACTTCCCAGTACAGCCATTTAAATGGCACAAGGTCACCTACAAAGACAAATGAAACAGCCTATTAGTCCAGAGACTGAGGTATATTTAGGGAATACATATAGACAAAGTTTCAGAATACCAGGGAAATGATAGGTTATTTGACAAAGTTGGGGCTCTGCATTATTTCACATCAAAATTAAAACAGCAATAATTATATAAGTAGAGCCATAAATTGCAGAAATCGTTCTGAGACCTTGGAACCTTGTGTTACTATGGTAATGGTTCTGCACCTTATCACCTATCCTAGGAATGTGCTATGACCTAGAGGGTTTTGAAACTTCTCAGGATTGCAAGGAGTCTCCTGTTAGAAATGTGAAAAGTCAGGCAAGAGAGAAGGATGCGAGCTGAAACAAGGCTGTAGACTTGAGAAAGATCTAAGAGAGAAGAGCAAAGAGATCAGGGAACTGAGAACAGTGAAGGAATGGACTGAAAGAGCACGGTGTGCGTTGGTTCATTTGATATCTTTGTAAGCACCTTCCCCCAGAATCGGGAGAAAACCCCTTGGGGCATGTAACCAGGGGGCTTTCCTTAGAGAAGATTAAAAATTTAATGTGAGTTTCAATGGTGAAGGCATCTTAGGATTTTAAACAGTCTAGGCTAGGGAATAGTTCCACGGGAGGGCATTTGCCTTTCATATACAAGGCCCTGGGCTCAATTTCCAGGACAATACCTTCAAAAAACAAACACACTGCAATGCCAGGCATGGCAGCTCACACCTTCAATCCCAGCACTGAAGAAGCAGAGGCAGATACATCTCTGAGTTCAAGGACAGCCTGGGCAATATAGTGAGTTTTAAGCTAGCTAGAGCTACAGGATGAGACTGTCTCAAAATGAATAAACAATCAAACTCCTACAAGAACATTAGACCACAACATTCCTTACTGAGTAAAGGCTGCACTTAGGTTAATAAAGTAATGACTCCCTAGGGGGGGAAATAGGCAAAGGAAACAACTAATAAATTACAGCAGAGTCAACAAGAAAATTTGAGCTGTAAATAGAAATACAAATTAAGACAGGGGGATGCTTTGGTATTTCTGTAGAACAGATTGACAAGAGACAGAAAGGTTTATCACTGGTAGAGTACTAGTGCAGTCTCTTCTGCAGTTTGGCACCAGCAACATGTGTCTATATTTTTACTAAAACCCATACTAGAAATTTACATCTCAGAAGTATGGCACATGTGTGAGACCCATGTACAGAATCTGTATCATTAGAACAACTCGGGCAGACTCACCCTTGCTTCCAGGATTGCATCTTAGAGAGGGCCAGGCTTTCCACTGAGAACCTGATGTTAGTCAAAGGGATGGGCAGGGTGTTCTTGAAGGAGCAGTTGAATGAAAGTGGCATGTTGATCTTGCCTGTGCTAGGCATCTGTTAAGAGAGGGGAGTGGAGAAAAGACAGGTGTGACCAGCTGGAGATGAGGGCTTGGATGATAGGTTCTATCAAGAAAGATGGTTCTTGCCAGGCGGTGGCGGCACACGCCTTTAATCCCAGCACTTGGGAGGCAGAGGCAGGCGGATCTCCGTGAGTTCGAGGCCAGCCTGGGCTACCAAGTGAGTCCCAGGAAAGGCG